GTAAAACCTAAAATGTTGCTACCGTATTTTTTACGGTAAAATTCTGGCAACCACAGCTGCCGTTTTTTTATGGTAAATTTTACTGTTAGCACCTTGTATAGGTTTGTTTCTACCATGTTTGAGAGCAAGGCATGATGGGCCACACATTTGCTCAAGGTGAGCGCCGTGCGTAATCTGTATACTTTACAAACTGCGTCCATCTTCTGCCACCCACTTAGACTTGTTTGTTTAGTTTAATCTCTCTTTGTCTCCCTCCGCCTCATATTTACGCTTGTTTTCTCTGCGTTTCTTCGACTCTGCATTCAGACGGCGTGCCGAGCGCGGTGGCATCGCGAGCAGGGGAGTGGAGAGGTTGAACAGCAGTTTGAAATGTGAATTAGAGGGGAGAGGGGCGTGCGAGAGCTCTCCGAGGCCAGGAATCAGTAACCACGCTTTCATTTTATGACATTCTCTCGCTCGAGTGTGTCTGGTAAACACATGCACAGAATACAGCACCGCAGCTCACCACTGAACAAGAGCAGCCACGTTCACCAGAAAATCTCAAAAGGTTTACGAGTGGTTGAGGAATTGCTTACTTTATTTAACAAACTCAATTTTTTTATTGCTTCTAAGCTGAAGATCCCTTTCGCAAACATATTTGCTTATATATTAACAATCAATATATTAAACTTTAATGTATATTGAAAATATACAGAATATATATATATATATATATATATATATTACATTTTCTGAAGAAAAAATGGGTCTGTCTTCCCATTCAAATCTTACCACTCTACTGTAAGCGCCACTAATTAATTACAGTGTGTCATGTTATTTTAATCCACGTTTCTCTTTTGTGTTTCTGTTTGTTCTGCAGGAGCCGAACACTGTTTCCGAAATTTCAGCGCTCCAACCGGAGTGATTGAGTCTCCTGGTTTCCCTGACAAGTACCCTCATAATTTGGAGTGCTCCTTCATCATCATCTCTCCTCCTCAGACGGAGGTCACACTCACCTTCCTGACCTTTGACCTGGAAAATGACCCTTTGCTGATGGGGGAAGGAGAATGCAAGTATGACTGGCTGGACGTTTGGGATGGCCTGCCACAAGGTTAGTGCCGGTATTTTAGTCATATACTGTATACATACACAAACTACTGTTCAAAAGTTTTGGGTCAGTATGATTTTTTATTTATTTTTTTATTCAGCAAAGGTGCATTTAATCGATCTAAAATGACAGTAATGTTACAAAAGATTTACATTTTGAATAAATGCAGTTCTTTTGAACATTCTATTCATCAGTGAACCCTGAAAAAAATGTATCACATTGTCTAGAAAATTATTGAACAGCACAACTGTTTTCAATATTGATAATAATAAATGTTTCTTAAACAGCAAATCGACATATTAGAATGATTTCTAAAGGATCATGTGACACTGAAGACTGGAGTTATGATGCTAAAAATTCAGCTTTGCATCACAGGAATAAATGAACATTTAAAATATATTCATACAGAAAATAGTCATTTTAAATTGTACAAATATTTCACAATATTACAGTTTTTACTGTATTTTTGATCAAATAAATGTAGCCTTGGTAAGCATAAGAGCATAAGACACTTTCATTTCAAAATGTTACCACCTGCAAACTTTTGAGCTGTAGTGTGTGATTTCATACCTTTTTCCCCTCATATCTTTTATCAAGTCGCACTTGTAGAAGAGTACTTATAGTGTGTAGAAGATATAGTGTTCATAGAATTGTGAACATCTCAACCATTCGCACAGTAAGCCAAATTTCTTCGCTTCCCATCTCGCACGCTAGCAATCTGGGATCAAACTCAGCTCTTGTCGTCCTGACCTCCAGGGATCACATGAGCAAAGGAGAAGGATAGTAAATCAGGGATAAGTAGGAAAGAAATCAGAGGAATACTGTGAGGAAAGATCGTAATCCATGGAGCCGAGGGAATTTGAGGCACGCGATGCCTCAGCAGATCCACTTCACACTGAGAACCGCTTCTAGCCTCTCTAACTGATCTCTGATCAGCTCATTTCCCTCCTTTCTTGTGTTCAGTGGGACCTCTGATCGGACGATACTGTGGGATGAAGATCCCTCCAGAGATCCAGTCTTCCACAGGCCTTCTGTCGCTTTCCTTCCACACTGACATGGCTGTGGCCAAAGATGGTTTCTCTGCCCGCTATAACATTACTCGCAAGGAAATTAGTGACAGTAAGTATCATTTTTGTAGGTAAAGTGTATAATTTTCTGAATATGTCAGTTGTCTCTCCCAGCAACTAAAAAGTAAACACTATGATGCAAAACATTATTCAGTTGTTTGAGTCCCTACCAGCCTAACTTAACTACATTAGTTCAATGGTTTGTGTTTAGAGGTGGAACTATCTGTTTAGTTGACCAATGACAGACAGGGGAGTGTTCAACCTGTTAAATGCAAAGTTAATGCATTTAATTTGATTTATATATTTAAAAATATTAATTAAATAATTTAAAAAAGAAACAATTACATGTAAATACAGTAATAAGAAAAAAGATAAATATATTAAAAATATCTCTTTCTCTCTTATTCAGCATTTCACTGTAGCAATGCATTTGGAATGGAGTCTGGTAAGATCTCTGATGATCAGATTTCGGCGTCCAGCTCATTTTATGATGGTCGCTGGCAGCCCCGTCAGGCACGTCTGAACAACGAGGACAACGCTTGGACACCTGCTGAGGACAGCAACAAGGAATACATACAGGTGAGCCAGTCACACACTAGGGGGCCGTTTACACGACAACGTTTTCAGCCAAAAACAGGACACTTTTTATGCGTTTTGCCTGTTCGTTTACACGACGACGGCTACGTCATGTGCGTGCATAGTACGTGTTAAGTATGTAGACATGCGCAGTACATGTCGATTTTAAATGCAAGCGCGAACAAATATATGTGTAAATGTGAATCGTTTTGAAAACGTTGTCGTGTATACGTGAAACTTTTTAAAAGCGCAAGGGAAAAACTTTTCCGTTTTGGACTACATTGTTGTCGTGTAAACGTAGCCTAGAACTTATTGGTGCATTTGACATTCCTTGAACATTTCATTTGTACAATTTTTTGACTAAATTAAATGTTTAATTTGTTACGAAAAAAATTAGATGTGATGGAAGTGTAATTTGTTTAATTGGCATCATTCATAAAATATTATCAGCACAAATTTATATAATTAGTTAATTTTTACATAATTTACTGCATCAGTTTGAATGGTTTTAATGAGGCATACCTCAGTGTCAGTCCGTAATTTTATTTATTTATTTATTTGTAATTCACATTTCTGTCTTACTGTACAGGAAAGTTTGTTTTTGTAATCTTTTATCCAAATATACACTACCGTTCAAAAGTTATGTCTAGGTAAGACGTTTTTGAAAGTCTCATGTGCTGCATTTATCTGATCAAAAATACTGTAAAAACAATAATAATGTTAAATGTTATTACAATTTAAATGAACTGTTGTCTGTTTTTAATGTATTTTAAAATGTAATTCATTCCTGTGATGCAAAGCTGAATTTTCAGCATCATTACTCCAGGCTTCAGTGTCACATGATCCTTCAGAAATCAGTCTAATATGCTGATTTGCTGCTCAAAAACATTACTATTATTATCAATGTTGAAAACAGTTGTGCTTCTAAATATTTTTGTGGAAACCTTCGATTAATAAAAAGTCTTAAAGAACAGCAATTATTTGAAAAATAATATTTTGTAACATTATAAATGCTTTTGACCAATTGAGTGCATCCTTGCTAAATAAAAATATGAATTTCTTAAAAATAATAATGAATAAATAACTGTATTAATAAATAAATAAATCAGACCTGCCCCAAACTGTATAGCATAGTTTCATCTAGAAATATGGCATGTTATGAATGAAAAATGGGTTGCATTTGTTGACTTTAAGATATTAACACATATTAAACGATTCTGTCCCTCACAACCTCATTTGCGTCACATTAAAAAAGCCATTTACCCTGTCCTTGATTTGTTCCCTTTAATCCACTGGGATTCTCTCTCTCACACACACGTGTGGTATAGTCCTACACACCACTACATTTCCAGAACCTTGTACACCCTCAATAGAGCACTCCATCTTGCACGTCAGCATACGCCCCTCAGCTTGAGCGTTGCGTTTGTTGTGTTGGTGCAGACCGATGATGCACGGAAGGTTGCTGTGATGCTAACTGCTCGATGATGGATGAGGACAGTCTAGAGAAATCCGTAGTTAGCAGCCTTCTCCAGTGCTATTGATTTCAGAGTTCGTAGCGTCTCTCCCCGCACCCCTCACCTGCATCCAAACGCTCAGGATCCGGATAGCATTCCTTCTTATATTTGAGCATGTGTAGAGGTCAGGGAGTTTTAATTAGACCAGTGATACATCATTTTGTTGAATTCTACTTTTATTGCAAATTACTTGAATGTACCGTGTCAAACTTGAGTGTTTTATATAAAATGACATACAGTATCACTCAACAAAAATATTTGTTGACCGGTAGTGTGTATAATAGCACAGTTTTCACAAATATAATAAAGCAGCATAACTGCTTTCAAAATGAATAATAATCAGAAATGTTTATTGAGCAGAAAATTAGCATATTAGAATGATTTCTGAAGGATCATGTGACACTGAAGACTGGAGTAATGATGCAGAAAATTCAGCTTTGTATCACAGGAAAATATTACATTTTAATATATATTCAAAAAGAAAACAATTATTTTAAATTGAAATAATATTTCACAATATTATAATTTTACTGTATTGTTGATTAAATAAATACAGACTTGATGAGCATTAGTTAAAATTAAAATTATTAAAATTATTCCAAATGATAGTGTATACAATAAATAAAAAAACCGATATGACATATGCAATAAATCATGAATTAGCATAACTTAAGTGTAATAATAATATATCAAGGTTTTTGAAACCATAAACAGCCTAAAGCTAGACTAACACACTAAATTACTTGGTGAAATTGTTTATAATGATTATTAGCATAAATAAATGTAATTATATCTGCATTTTGCTGTTGCTGCCACTTGCATTCATGTCTGTAGATGGGTTCCATGCTGAATTGTGAAGTGTAGGTCTGGTTTACTGTGGTAAAATGACTGTGGTTTTAAAATAGCACCCTTGTTTTTTCAGTCACAGATATGGCATCACTAGAGGAATAAACTTGTTTTCTATATACATGTTCAAAATAGATTTATTAACTGCAAAGGAAATGTTCATTACTCATATCAGAAATCCTCATTGATCGGCTGTCAAAAGGAGCTAAGTTTGGTCCGATCAGTCGGGCATTGTTATCGTTCCCTGTTTCCCACTTTCATCAATCACTCTCCTTTCCCAGGTGGATCTTCACTTCCTCAAGGTACTGACCGGGATCGCTACCCAAGGAGCCATTTCCAAGGAGACCCATAAGTCCTACTACGTCACCACCTTCAAACTGGAAGTCAGCACTAATGGAGAGGACTGGATGATCTATCGGCACGGCAAAAACCATAAGGTATAGGGACCATGCAATATGTTTGTGTTCACTATGTGTTTACAACTGACAAAGAAAACACAACTACAAAGAAATAATCCATTTGTAGGAACAACACTTACAGAGCAGAGACTGGATTCACAAAAATGAAGAGAAATTTGTTAGAACATTCTATCTTTTTTTGAAAAAATTGTCCATTCATTTATATTGCTTAGAATTGCATTTAAATATTTTAAGAACAGCTTAATTTTATTCTTAGTAAAAAGTATTTATTTGCTTACTCATGACGTTTTCCTAATATAACAAATTCAATGCGCCGGTAAATCTTTGCGATAAATTTATCAGTGAATTAATCATGCATTTACCTAATTTTAGGTAGCAAGTATATGGAAGCCTGTTTCCGCCACTGAATAAAAAATAAAAATAGGTTATTGCAACTTTTTATCTCACAATTCTGACTTTTTTTCTAAGAATTGCGTGATATAAACTAGAGCCCGACCGATATATCGTTTTGCCGATATTATCGGCCGATATGAGCCTGTCGCCGATATATCGGTATCGGCGAATATGCCACCGATATGAACATTTTTTTTACAGAACATATAATGCAGATAAAATGCTTGAAATAGTGTAATTACTTAGTTTGTCCAGCAGAGCGTGCTCCATTGTTTGCTACTGGTGACCTGGATGAAACGCTTTAAAGCTTAAGTCAATGGAAAACCATTGAAACTTCGAACGGACATATCTCCATAACGGCGCGGCGAATCCGCACCAAATTCGGGGGATCCCTTCAGCTCGAGGAACCCTCTCGAACGCGAATCGAGTGTACGTCTAGAGGCCCTCTTTCGAATGAGACCACCCCCGCGTGGATAGCGTCATAGAATAGCACATTGTAACGCAGTGTTACAACGTGCCCCATCTGCGCAACTGGAATTTAAAACTGGTTAGTGTCTTCTGCTAGTAATCAAAGCATTAAAAAACGATCTGAACTGATAAATAACAGATTGGAGATTAAAATAATAGCAGATTTGTCTCATTTTAAATGAATAATAAAAACCTTTACTATGGTAAAATAAATATTCAAACCACGACCCATTCGAAGACTGTGTTTCAAATCATTTTCCCTTTCTAGATAAGTTGAGACTGATCCTATCAAGATTAATATGAATTTAGTTTTGAGGAAGGCAGGAATTTTCCTAATTCAATCACAGAGCTTTGGACAACCCTCAGTACCTCATCAAAAAACATTTCAGAAGGATATACAGCATTTAAGATTATTGCGGCAAATTCAAATTATGATGAGGACACAACTGAGCAAACCCGACAGAAACGCTTTTGTTTGGCTAGCATTAGCACGGCTAGTAATTAAAGCATCAATCAACCGCCACTGCTTCATTTACCCCGCCTGCCCAGTGACATCCTAATCTCTATTTGTTTTGACGCTGTCCGTCGCTTGAAAGATCGTCTTTCTCGTTTCGTGACAACTAATCCCACTGTAACCGTGCTGGCCACAGTTTAATCAGAGCCTCGGAAAGATGCTTATGTATTTTAACTCTACATCGTGCCAAGGGACGCCGTGTAATAAAAGTGCTAGGATTAACCTTTTGCTCGTCTTTTTAGTGGATCTGCTTTTGATTAAAAGATTAGTCTCCTGTTTTGGAATAAGTCACACGTGAAAGTAATATTGACCTGCAGACGTGACTGGGCTTAATGCTCCGGATGTAGCCTAATCCTGGTCTCAAACCACTTTTATTATAGAGTTTGGGATGTAAATTGTTAAACTTCTTTGACAATTTTGAATCCTTTGAATATTGAATCATTATTGTTAATCATTTTGAACATATAGGGGAAGGTAAATTTAATGACGTAATGACGGTTGGTAAATTATAAGCATTTTGGATTTTTTTTATTTTGCATTTTGAGCATATTCAATTTGTCATAATGAAAAAATATCAAGATATAATTTGAATTTTGTAAAAATAATATATAAATATTTACTAATGAACAAGGAACAATTGTAACCTTATTCTGTGTAAAAAAGAGCTTTAAAATAATCACAGTATTCACTTTGTTGCTTAATTTTACATATACAGTAAACACATGGCAAATACATCATGAATAATTGATACCACTCAGCATTACTGCATACACTTATATACAGCCACTAAACCAGAAAAAGGTCCCACAAGTGTGAAAAATTGCAGCATACCCTGTTTATTATTACAATTTCTATAAATCCCTTGTGGACAGCAAGTAATAAATCTGTCACACACTCACTTGATACATGATGAATATCGCATATAAAGCCATTTAGCCTTTGTGTTTGCTGCCCTTGACAGAAAAGTGACGATTGGGAGAGTTAAAAATGATGGGAGGAGAGACACAAAGATGCAGAAAGATGGAAAACGAGAAAGACAGAAAGAAATTGGAATTAAGGGGGGTGTTGTCATTTCTTTCCCCCATTGAGAGAAAGCTCACTGGAGGGGAGCAGGTATTGTAGAGTAGTGAACACTTCAGTGTTCATTCGCTGTCTCTCTCACACACACATTGTCTGTTTACCTTCTCTTCAAGAGGTTGCTTAAGGCTGGTGAGCCACCAACCGGAACCAGCTTCAACTGTCAACATCTTCATCTAGAAATGAGTGAGGGAAAACAGGTGGACAAAGAAAAGAAAAGAAAAGAAAAGAAAAGAAAAGAAAAGAAAAGAAAAGAAAAGAAAAGAAAAAAGATTTGATTTGAGGAAAGACAGCTGAAAAGCATGAATTCATGAATTCATCTTGATGATTTCCCAATTTGGTTTTTCCTGATTAGTGCTGGTTTAGCTGGATTTCCAGCATATTGTTTCTGGTGTAGCTGGTCGATCCAGTTAAGAAACCAGTTGAGGGGAAAAAAGGCTATTGGACCTTTTTATTTATTTAGTACATTATCTGACATTAAATTTATAATTATTTCTATTTATTGAAAAAAATTTTTTTATTATTAAATTTATTTGATTATGTGGACTGGAGAGTATATTTTTTTTCAGAGGGCTTAAAGTAGTACACAAGCATATTATTAATTAATTAATTAATTTAGATTTACTTTTTCATATGTTTTATTTATTTAACAAAAAATATTTTATTAATTATATGAAGATATTTTTTATATATTTATTTAAATTATCAGGTACTCCATGTAAATAATATAGCTTAAAGGCATTAAACAAAAAATAAATAGAAAGTTAATATACGTGAATTTTAATAAACAGTATTATAGGTTTTAATTTCTTTTCTTTTTGAATAATTTGTCATAATAATTCTAATGTACATTTGATATTTACTCTGAAAACGTTTGTTCCCATTCAGATATCTAGCCTTTAAAAGAAGAGCCATGGTTTAACCAAAGTTGGGAAAAAGACTCATTTACTATTTTCTCCTCAACTTAGTTTCTCTGCTTATGTCTTTTCCTAGACATGCTCTTTCACGACTTTCATCAATACTTAAACACCTCGAGACCTTCTGTCCCCTAGCAGTCTGCATAGGATGTCTGTTCTGACTGACCCAGGGGTGGAGACAGACCCACGCAGGGTTTCACCTCCTAGCGTTGTAGGGACAGTGGAAAGGGTCTTTATAATTTCATGATCTATCACTCGTAGACACACAACATGGCAGGTTTAATTATTTAGTTACCCTAGCTAGCACTCTACTTCAGCTGGATGGGCGGGACCATCCCATCGTGGGTCGCCCCGCTGCCAACTCTCTTGTTGTCAGGCAGATTTTGGTCTTGTTTACGACACTGAATAGCTTAAAGATTAAACAGCTTATAGCTCTATAGGTTATTTGAAATTTGGTCATTTCAATATGAAACATGTCTTTAGGCTATACAAGAGCATTAGCACTCATCATTTGGTGCACTAAATTGCACAACCTTTTCACAGCAAAAATACAACAACTTACTCTAGAAAGAAAGTTTTAAGCCATTGCTAAAGGTCAGTTCTAAAGAAATTATCTCCCATTATCAAGTAAGAAAAATAGCCTTCGATTGATTGTACAGGAAAAGGTAATTATTCAAGATGACTTGGTCAGACATCACGTGTTGCTCAGACCACTTTATAATCTAAATTAACCTTTGAACTGTGTAACTAGGCTTATTGACAGGGATCAAAGATCGCCGTTGAACCACTGATGGAATCTTTGATCTCTGCAGGTGAAGAAAACCTTAATGCATTAACCATAAGCAATTCGACCTCTGACCTTCCTTGACTGCTCTTAAACTGTACCATATTTCTTTTCCTTGTGTTTGATCTACACCTAATTCTTGTGTGATTAATAGTCTTTAGTAGATGCCATTTGATGTGAAAAGAACAAGGCTTGTAAGAATGGAAATACAGTTCATTATGTCAGTTTTATTGAGGTTAGATCATATTTAATTTTTACAACCCATTTCTTTCTTTCTGTCTTTTTTTTTGGCAAGGAAAATGTGTGCAACTAAATTGTTTCAACGAGAGAAAGATACCTAACTACATAAAAATAAGAGCTTCATTCTTGAAGAATAATTTACACAGAAATTTACATACAATTGGTTTTACAGATAATTTTCAAATTATTTTGTTATGTAAATTGTAAGAATGTTTAGAATGAATTACAAAATAATTAAGTTTTTGTGTAAATTTGCTATAATTTTTGTGTATTTGTTTCTACAAATTATATACAAAGAAATGACACATATAATGTAAAAAAATATGATTTTATTAATTTTCATGCAGATGTGTTATATAAATGTAATTATTAGTTTACAAACCATTACCAATTAAATTTGACATGCAAATGTACAGATGTTACAAATAATTAACAAAAATGTACGCAAACATTATTTTATGAATGAGTTTCAAATACAAATAATTTACTCTGAAATTAGTTTCTAAAAAAATTGTTGCGTATATTTATGCAAGAATGCACTGTGATTTTTCAAAGTTGTGAATAAAATTTTTTTTTGTATAAAAATAAAATGAAAATACTACCAACATTTTTACCCCAAAATTCCATGTTTTTTTGTATTATTTTTGTAACGTATTAGCAATTTCTAAATTAAAATAGTTTCAAACTAAATCCTACACCAGTTTTTGTTTCAGCTTGGTTACTCAGAAATGAACGAGTTGCACTGAATGGACTCTACTTCCATCCCGCTCAGCCTCGGGTTAATTCCTGTCAAATTAAATATGCCATTTGCTCTGATTGTGGGCCAGTCCTTCTTTCTCATATTTTTCCAATTCATCTGTTATTTCTGATATTTTCCGCCCATGCTTTTTCAGTTTTGTTGATTGGTCTATGTTATCATCTCTCAGACCCTGTTCTCCTCCTCCCTGTCTCTTTCGTTTAACCTCTGTCTTCTCTTCCATCGTTAACCGTGAACTCTGCGGAGCTGCCACAATGTTTTGCCACAGAGCTGGACGGCTGACTGCGTCCTATTGCAGCATCAGGAAAGGGGTCATCCGTCTAGTCAACTGTCTGTCTGTCTGGCTTCAGCAGCCACAACACATTCGAGATCAGCATTTTAAAAAAAGGGTTCGAGAAAACCTTCCCCCACCTCTCCACGCTTCCGTCACTGCATCATTGAAGCATTATGAGTGTGGTCCTTTGTGAGTGTGCCGAATTCCCCTACTGGGAATACACACACACGCACATACACACTAACACAGAGTTGATAGAGCATTTATAGCCTTGAGCGTATAGCACAGAAAAGGGATTCTTCCATATGGATTGCTCTGCCCAGAGCCCGTAACTCTCGATTGGATGTGACTTGTGGCCACTGGATAGAGAAGATGAGGCGAACAATGGGGATGAATGAGGTTTAGGCCTTGAGGATAAAAGGAATGGGGGGAAAATTTAACGGTGGTGAAAACTTGCTCAATAGACTCTTTGTTTGTCTTCGTCTAATCCACTACTTTTTCTAGTGCCACTTGACTTAATCAGCCCATTTCACTGCCTCATGGTGTCGGTCATAGTCACAGCTTTGTAAGTAAGCCAGGATACTTGTGTGTCTGTGTGTGTTCACTTTTGAAAGCCTTTACAGCCCATCTTGGCCTCTGTTACACTTGATCTCAGGTGAGGAATGTTTTCGGTTGGCTAAGACACACCCAGCATTCAACCTCCCACATGGATGGAAGAACGCGGATGTGTGTGTGTGTGTGTG